ACCACAGTAGAAGCTCGCAGGTTCCAGAGGAGGGGTTTGATGACACAGCACGTCTGCTCTAGGCACTTCGTGCTTCTTAAGTTAATAACCAGTTGCACAAAACTTTGTGGAGCTAAAAATGAAATATTTTGAATCTATATTATAACCAGATCGGGGCAAGAGACAAATGATAGGAAGGAGGAAAAGGAAGAAGGAAGGAGAGACAAGGACAGGGCCCCCATGCAGGACAGAGCAGTGAGGGAGGGAGTTAAATAAAGCACTGGGTCTGCAGTCCCGAATCCCCCACCCCTCAGCTTATCACCCGAAAGAGGGATAATAATAGTACTGACCTCATGGATTAAATTAGCTGATATGTATAAGTGGGCACCTGGTAAGGGGGTGAGTGTAACCCAGTTTGTTTAATTGAATTATAGTTGATTTACAATGTTGTGTTAGTTTCAGGTGCACAGCAAAGTGATTCAATTATACATACATATATATATGTATGCATTCTTTTTCAGATTCTTTGCGATTATAGGTTATTACAAGATATTGAATATAGTTCCCTGTGCTCTACAGTAGAACATTGCTGATTATCTATTCTATATATAGTAGTGCGTGTATGTCAATCCCAATCTCCCAATTTATCCCTTGCCTGCCCCTCTTCCCCCCGGTAACCATATATTTGTTTTCTGTGTCTTTGGATCTATTTGTTGTGTAAATAAATTCATTTGTATCATTTTTTTCAATTCCACATATAAGTGATATATTGTATTTGTCTTTCTCTTTCTGATTTACTTCACTTAGTATGATAATCTCTAGGTCCATCCATGTTGCTGCAAATGGCATTATTTTGTTTTTTTTATGGCCGAGTAATATTACATTGTATATATATACACATATATATTACATTGTTTATCTATCTACCTATCTGTCTATCTATCTCACATGTTCTTTATCCATTCACCTGTGGATGGACACTTAGGTTCCTTCCTTGTCTTGGCTTACATGTTTCTATTGCTATGTTAATTTGGGGGGAGAATGTCCATTCTCTTAATTTAAAATATGGTTTTAAAAGGCTGGAATTTCTTAAAAATATTTTAATTCCCACCTAAAATTTTGATGCTCAAGGCGTTGTTAAAATCTTATTTTTCTTGTTCATATGTGGTGCTCTTCGAGATACAAATGTCAGACTTGAAACTAGACTTAGCACTGGAGGAAACAACACAGATTTTCCTCTCTTGTAACAGGAGTGGCAGGAAGGTGGGGACACCAAGAACTGCTGGGAACAGACCGTGGGATGCCATCAGCAGCCCCCTTTCCTCTTTCTTGGCTTCCATCTGCTCAGGACCCCTTTTTTCCTCTTACACAGCGTTCTCCCTGTGGCCATCATATTGGGAACATTGTCAGGGCTGGGCTCACGTGACCTTGGTTCTCCGACAGGTGAGGAAAAGAGCTTCTTACCTGCCTGGGGAGGGTTCCACTTTGGCCTGACCTAGCCCATCACATGCACATATGGTCACCTGTGACAAGGAGACAGGTGCTGCGAGGATGCCCAGATCCCCTGCCCCCATGGCCAGGGTGGGAGGTAGGATGCCTTGGGGCCCGCAGAAGCAGCTTATTGGCCGGGGCAAAGTAGTTCCCAAAGAAAGGAGAACTCCAAAACTGCTTTCTGTTGTGGAAAGACAGGAACTTGGAAGCTGCTGAGGCCAGCAGGAACATGGGCCGGAAGAGGGAGGAGAGGGAGGATGGATGCACAGAGCCTGGTTCGCCTTGTAAAGGAGTAGCTGTCAATGGATTAGATTCATTCCAGGAGTAGATGCCCTACTTCTGGGCACAGCACTTCCCACTTGGAGGGTTGGTGCTGAATTATGTTAAGGGATATTTTGTTACCTGAGACACACATGGATGAGACACTGGAACTTGCCCTGCAGACTGAGTGACATTTAGCCCAGGGTTTGTTTCCAGCTTTTGGGCTCGGTTACCCTCCCTCTGCTCCAGATGTCAGCTCTGTCATTGAGATGCCAATGCTATCAAGGGAAATTCTTCTTTAATTTAATTATTTTAGATTTAAATTTATTTTATATTGGAGTATAGTTGATTTACAATGTTGTGTTAGTCTCAGGTGTACAGCAAAGTGATTCAGTTATACATATACATATATCCATTCTTTTTCAGATTCTTCTCCCATATAGGTTATTACAGAATACTGAGTAGAGTTCCTGGTGCTATACAGTAGGACCTTGTTGATTATCTATTGTATATCTAGTAGTGTGTATATGTTAATCCCAAACTTCTAATTTATCCCTCCCCTCACCTTCCCCCTTTGGTAACTAATTTTTAAAAGTGAAGAATGCAATGCATTATTTCTAACTACTTCATCTAATATTGGAAAGGAACAACCCCTCTAGTGAATTATATCCATTTCTCTATGCTATACATTCCCTTCTTTTCATTGTTGCTGTCCTTTGCTTTCACCTGAAGACTGTAACATGTTCTAGACTTCATATTATAAATCTCATTTAAAAAGTGTTGAATCAAGGAAGTCTGCCAGCAACTTTGTTTTCTCTGCTTTTCTCTCTGTGTTGGACTGCTCTGGCACGGGAGAATAATATTACTTTACCATGTAAAACATGGTGAATGGCTGTAAAAGAATTCCCCAGCAACTGAATAATGGGCTGTCAAAAATATTCTTGGTGCCAAAGGATCTGGATATGTCTGTTCCATTTATTGTGTTTCTCCTTTCCCCATGACTAAGTGCTCACAAAAGACACAAAAACCCAAACCTCTAGAGTATGTGGTATTCGAGGACAGAAACCATATTTTAATATATTCAGTCTCATACCTAATGTATTAAGATGTTTAGTAGAGGATCACCAGCAAACAATGATGAGCACCTATGGTATGTAAGATGCTCAAATTACTAATTAAATTGACTTCTAGTGACAGGAAGGAAGTTGTGTTCCCCCATCTCCACTGTGCTTGGTTGAATGAGTTAATAATATTTATTTTAAGGAGTACTGGAAGTCTTGACCCCAAAACTTTTACCTTGTTCTGCCCTTTTGGAATAAGTTTATTTTTCTCAGAAATATGAAAATGGAACCTATTTCTTAATTAAAGTTCCGTGTTTTAAGAGCCTGAATGTGCAGTCTAGCAAAATCATTTATTTTTATTTTACTTTGATAATAAATGGAGTCTATTTTAAAAATCAATTTTAGAATGCGCTGAGAAGATCTGGGGAAAAAATGGAAATGTGCAAAAGTTAAAAGCTGCTTTGTTTCTCAATGAAAGCAAGAGAAGTCAAGAAAAGTAGCATCTAAGTGCCTCCCTACCCCAACCCTCCCCACTGGGTCCGAGCACAGACTGTCTGCTTCTCACTTGGCGTGAGGCTCTTAATCTCTCCCACCTCTGACTTTGGGCCAGACTGTTGCCAGCGGTCCCGGAGTTCAGCGTGGTTTCTGATTCAGGTTATATATTCTTGGGCAGTGTCTTAATTGCTAGTATTCAGGGGCAGGATAACTGTCGTTTAAGAATTCCTGAGATGGGGATTCTCCATTGTTTTGCATGTGACTCACAGGACAGATGACATTCATATGGGGCCCACTCCCCTGGTTCAGGGGCCATCAGAAATTCCTGGGCTGCTTAACTAAAATTCCAGGTCTTTTCCTCCTACTTAGCAAAGCCTATTGGAATTCAACTGGGCAAGAGTAACTTCGTCCGAGGAGATAAACCTGATCTGCTTTAAATTTATGTGTGTACGCATGTGTGTGTACTTCTGATCCCAAATTTAGTCCTGCATTATTTATAGCAATTATTTAAAACGCTCCATCATAACCGAGTAGTATGAACCCAAGTCCCTTAGTGAAATCACCACATTCATGCTCCCTTGGGACTAGCTTAGTCCTCAGAGAGGGCCCAGGAAACTACTTTGTATAATCTCCTGTCTTTCCAGAAAGTCTGTCTAATGCCTAGGAGGCACTGATTGTCGACCCGAGAATAAAGCACTGGAGGCAGAGTTCTCAAGAAAGAAACATAAGTGCCATCCTGGCTTACTGTGACTTGAGGAACAGAAGCAGGGTGGCTTTTAACTGCCTCTGGAGACCCAGTGCTGAATTCACCACTTCCTGTTTGCAAGACTAAACTGTACAGAAAGGTAGTGATTATCTGCGGTGATTATTAACGCAACTAGTACATAACACAGCTCATGGATTTAGGGCTGGGGGGGTGGGGTGGGCGGGCAGTGGTGCCTACTTGAACAGTTACTGAAATCAAGATATTGTTGCCACTGACTGAGCATCGGGAAAATGTCAAAGTGTGGGTTAGCAGAACCCTTACCTCTCACGAATGCAGGCTTCTTATTGACATGGTCTTTGATAAAAATGAGCACTTTTCTTTACATTAAGTACTCAGAAAATTGTTATGCTTATAATGTAGGGAAGAATTATTTCATGAAAAAATTGTAGAAAATCATTTTCATACCTAGCTATTCTTCTGTGGACTTGGATACACTATTCGTCAAATTGTGTCACTGGAAACAGCGTTTTCACACTCAGGAGACTTCCGATTAAAATGTTCAGCTTGAAAAATACATGTAAATCCTGTGCTTCAACATTGAGGAGGTAAAGCCATGGTGTCTAGTGGACTGGAATGCCAAAGTGCCCTCTAGCTTTCCAAATGCCACGTGAAGTTAAAAGTTGAATTTTGGAGAGTGCAGCTTACAATGTGCTACTATTTCATTATTTTTAACAGGAGAGTATTACACATTTTTCTGCTTGGGACACATGTAGACTTTTAGAGAATGATTTATTGGTCTGCTCTGTTACTGGGGGCGGGGGTGGTGGTGGTATGCACTCACCTGGGCTGGCCTCTGAAAGGCCATTTGGGGAGGCGGGGAGGGATGTCTTTGAGGAAAGACAGTCATTCTGCTTAGATGTACAAGCAAATCTCTACCAGGCTGTGCAAAATCAGGGCAAAACTGAATCCTTGTCGTGCATTAATAACATCCCTTCCTTCTGTTACAGGCTCAACCTGGGAAAAGACATTCCGACAGATCGGCTTTGAAAGGTAAGCAGGGCTTGGTTACTCATGGCCTATTTTACTCCAAGCAGTTCATTGACTATAAATTGGTGGTCTTGCCACCATTACTTTAGTGACTGTGCCCTTGAGTAAGTCATCAGTTTTGAGCCTCAGTTTCCTTGTAGAGTAGACCTTTGCTTTATGACATTGTTGCCTGCACACAGAGTGAAAATGTAGATTAAATGGAGCAATTTATGTGAAAATGCTTCTTCAACTGTGAAATAGTGTGAAAGGTAAATTGTAGAATTAGAGCATCACAGAAAAGAGAGTAAACTCTTTCTGATGTCATGTGTTATATTTAGTTCTACAGGTTTAGTACAGAGAAATTTATATTTATATTGATGTCTTTGCAATAATTAAAATTGTCCAATCTTATTAGCTCAAAGTGGAAGGCTGAGATCGTGTCACTCTTCGCTAAAAGCATTTCTACACCAGAAGAGAAAAAGCATACTCATTATAACATCAGAAAATGTGGAGGTAGGGTCAATATAGGCCTAATGGCAGCATAAAGGGCATTTAGCATCTCATATGAACTTGCAATGTCGATACAGCTATTGAAAGAGAGAAAAGTGATTTTTTTTTTTTTACTCTAAGGGTAGCTTTTGACTAGTTCTTTTCATCGTATTGAAAGTGTGTTTCTCTGTGTATTGATCAAGCTGACAGAGTGCTTAGAGCATATAAAAGGGATAATAAAATACCTTAGAATGCATTATTTCTCCAGCGGCAAGCGAGGACGGCTAGCTCATCACCAGGCTGACTGTGGTAGCATTTCTGGTACCATTTTTAATTGACTCAGAGGTTTATTTATTTCTCTCCATACACTTACATCCTGTCAGCACTGTCACTGTTGATCTCCCAGTGAGTTCCCACAGGTAGTCCTTGAGGTTATCAGAGGAGGTTGGCTTGGGATGGGCAGATCTCATGGATCAACTTAAAAGCTGGAATATCATGTGCGGACTCACCGTGTGTGAAACCTTTCCCCAAAGCATCTTTCTCTTGATTCTTCTTTTGTGTTCTGAAAAATGTCAACGATAACCAAAGAGGAGAGAAGAGCAAATTGAACATCAGTTATCTGTTGCCCAGCTTCAAGGACACTTTGCCATACTTGCTTTGTCCATTTTTAGGGGGGAGGGGGCTAAAATATTGTAAAGAAAATCTCAGGTATCGTGTCAGTTCCTCCCTACTTAAGTCAGTATACGTCTCTGAAAAAATGGATGTTTTCTTTCAGAATCATGATGCCGCAGTGGTACCAAATACAAATACCAGTAAGTCCTTAGCACCATTTAATACCCAGTCAATGTTTACATTTCCTGATCATCTCAAAAATGTCATCTTACAGATACTGGTTTGAATCAGCATGCTTCTAAAGCCCACACATTCCATTTTAATTTTTTAGTTTTAAAAAGTTAAAAAAATTCTTTTGACTGAGTTATAATTAACATACAATATATTAGCTTCAGGTGTACAACATAATGATTTGATATTTTTATACATCATGAAATGGTCACCACCATAAGGCCAGTTACCGCGGTCACCACACATTCTGTTCTGTTGTCACATCTCAAGCCTCTGTGTTGGGATCGTGTCCCCCGATTCCCTCCCATCTTCATTGGGTTTCTCTTCACTTTCCTGGCTTCTGAGGAAACCAGCTCAGCTGTCTTGTAGAGCCGCTGTCTTGTCTGGATGTGTCTGTTTGTGGCATTGTTTACCTTGTCATTCTACCCTCTGTTTCATGTAAACTCAAATCGCTCCCTTTCTGCCATTGGGGGCAACTTCGTGTTGACTTATTGTCCTTTGATGCAGGCCACCTGGTCCTTTATCGTTTCTGTCCTTCTAGCATAGCTGGACTTATCAAGCCCACCCAGTATTCTGGACCTGGAGTCAGCCATTTATCCCAAGGGTGGACACGGAGGCGGCTCCCAGCCTTTGGCTCTTACCAGAATACCTTGAAATGAATAACCTTGTGCACACTTGTATTTTTGCCAAATATCTGAGGGGTAGGTTGCCAAGTACAATCAAAGAATAAGTTTTTATGGAATTTTGCTAAACACTGCCAAATTTCTCTCCTTAAAATTTCGGCAGTTTGCACCCCCGCCAGCAGTGGACGAGAGCAGTTGTCTCCCCAGAGCCTCGCCAACAGAACATGCTGTCAAACTTGAGATTTTTTTGCCAATCTGTTAGGTGAGAAATGGTATCTCAGTGTCCTTTTTTTTTGTTTTTTTTTTTTTTGCGGTACGCGGGCCTCTCCCGTTGCGGAGCACAGGCTCTGGACGCGCAGGCTCAGCGGCCATGGCTCACGGGCCCAGCCGCTCCGCGGCATGTGGGATCTTCCCGGACTGGGGCACAAACCCGTGTCCCCTGCATCGGCAGGCGGACCCTCAACCACTTTGCCACCAGGGAAGCCCTCAGTGTCCTTTTAATCTGCATTTATCCTGAGTCATTTTTCTGTAGAGCAAAGTGCAGGCTGAGATTCTTTGCTGTCTCCTGAGTGAAGCACTCAGGGCAAGAGCTTCTTCCAAGATGGTTAAGGATCCATCGATCTGCAGAATTTGGCAATTGAAACATATTCTTCCTAGTTTGCATGATCTTAACCTTTTTCTTACTAGAATAACGATTTAATGAAAACAACTGCCGTGCGCCAATCATTTCCAGTCCATACAACAATCCCACAGACCAGGGATGGGCAAACTTTTACTCTACAGGGTGGATAGGCCACATTTCAGGTTCTTCTGTTGTAGCAGAAGGCAGCCACAGACAATGAGCATGGCTGTGTTCCGATAAAACTTTATTTACAAAAACAGGAAGCTGGCCGGATTGGCTACTAGCCGTCCTTTGTGACCCATACTGTAGACTGTGGGCCCCATCTCACAGGGAAGGAAACCGGAAGAAAACCAAGTAGCTACCCAGAGAGTCATAGCCACATGGGCGTATTGACCTGCGTTTAAGCGAAGGTCTGCCTGGCTTTCTACACCCAGCCACAATGAATGCTTGAATTATAGCCTTCTTTGGTTTTGTGTTGTTTTATTTTTCTTATCCCTGTAGCTCTGGGGACGTAATCTTTAGTCTCAAGTCTTATCGGCTGTTCTCATTTTATGAACATTTTGAAGAAAGCCAGACAGTAAAATTCCCATATTATAATGCCTCTCTAAAATGGGCATGCTTCCAAATAGATGTACAAATAAAAATATTATTAAGGATATGCTGTAGTTTTGAACTGCAGTCCTAGTTTAGAGCTCATCCCTGTTTTTAGATGTTATCTTAAAATGTCATCCTGTGTTTTCCCATGTTGTCCAGTGTTGCCTCATTTAAGGACAGGGGAACCGTCTCTGCATTGCATCGAGTGTCTTAAAATACAGAGCAGGTATTGATCTATGGGGTTGTTGTGCATTTACAGTTGCAAAGACCATGTCAAGCAGTGCCGTTAGATATGGCCTTGCTTGATTTCTTCTCAAGTTTATCCTCGTCTTTCTCTTAAAGGGAATTCCAATTGTATCCTAAATGAAGCTGTCTGCTTCTTTAGAGCCATTGTAAGAGATATTGATCCTTTCAGCACTACGTCCTTTGAAGTTTGCCCATCAGTCTGTTGGCTAGCTGAGTATTTTAAAGTGGTCACATGTAAAAAAAAGTGACTGAGTCAGCTAAACCTCAAAGCTTTTTCCAAGAAAAAGGAAGCAAAGGTGTCCTCTGCTGTACATTTTGTAATCCAAGGGAAGATCTAGGGATTGAGCCTGCCTGTAACACGATGAGACAGTGTGCAGCCCTTTCCTTCCCAGAAACCATGCCATTTATATACACTGTCTCAGAATAAATACACATTGTCACAGTTTATATGGCTGAATTCATGATAATGTGTTATGTTCACCTTGCAAACAATTGCTCTCTGTGGGCGATATCAGGAGTTTATTTTTTGATTTCATCAGAGGAGTGCTCGTGACATAGGAAGGATATAGGCTCCTGTAGCTTTGGTTAGGGTTAGGGTTAGGGTTAGGGTTAGGGCTCGGGTTAGGGTATAAGATATAGGTTCCTACAACTTTGGTGCCACTCCCAAGACCCCCTTCCACTCCTAGTCGTAGATATTGCTATCTGCATAACAAAAGGAGACTCAGTTGTTTTGGTTTTGTTCTCATTATGGAGAAAAATATCTGTGCCTAACATTTTTTATTTCATTCAGAAAGCTCACCTTTCCCTGCAGATTTTCTAAACTTTTGATTATAAATATTTCCAAAGCATAAGTCACTCACTCATCGAGGTAATGGTGATGCAGGTAGGCCTGGCCCTGTCCCTGCACTGATACTCTGCAAGTTCTAAGCAAGTGTATCAGCCAGGGAGTGTCCCAGGTTCCCCGTGGCTTCTTACAACAAATGCTTCTTTCTCGTTTGTGCAAAATCTGATGAGGAGGCAGACAACTTCGTGGGGAGGTTGCCTGTGCAAGGTGTGTCACTGTTTGGCTTCAGTCTGTGACACCTGTGTCTTGACATGATGTTTCTGAGTTTGCTTAAGCATGGAAGCAGAATTTGGGGAATTGCGCACTGGATTTTAAGTGTTTCCACCTGGAAGTTGCATCTGTCACCACAAGTCACAGTTCATGGCCCAAAGCAAGTCACTGTGCTGATTTAGGGGCCAGGAGCATATCCCTCTCCTGTGTGTGCAGGAGGGGACAGGAAGTGGAGCCACCAGAAAGTGCTAGTGTCCTCATAGGAAGCTGTGAGCGAGGTCTGCACTGGGTCTTCTCTTTCTTAAGCTACGCTTTTCACTGGAGAAAAAATATTTCAGTGAGTTAGTGGGCTTGTGCACAGTAACCCGCCAAGAGGAATAAGGTTCCTGCTCTCAGGGAAATCTTATTGATGCTTCTTTCAAAGTAACCATCTTCTACTGCTTTCTCACCCCTATTTACTTAAAAAGCAAGGTAGTTATTCTTAATAAATCTCTATACTCAGCACAGCACCTCAGATTACATTAGTATTGACCCTATTGTACATGATTTTATT